TGGCGAGGCAGTCCTGGTGGTGGAGGGTACGGTCCTGCTGGTGCTGGAGCTACTAGTCCAGGACGTCCTAGAGGTGCTGCCGGTGCTAGAGGTACTGGAGTTGGAGGTACTAGAGCTGCTGGTGCTGGAGGTACTACTGTTACTGGAGGTGCTGGGGGTACTGGAGCTGCTGGCACCGGAGGTGCTGGTGCTACTGGTGCTGGAGCTGCGGGAGCTGCTGACCCTGGAGGTGCTGGTGCTGCTGGTGCTGGAGGCGTTGGAGCAGGTGGTGCTGCTGGTGCTGGAGGTGCTAGAGGTGCTACTGGTGCTGCTGGCACGGGAGGTAGTGGAGGTACTACTGGTGCTGGAGGCGCTGGAGCTGGAGCTGGAGGCACTGGAGGTGCTGGAGGTACTACTGGTGCTCGAGGTGCTGGCTCTGTCGGAGCTCGTGGTACTGGAGGTGCTGGTGCTACTGGTGCTGGAGGTGTTGCTGGGGGTACTGGAGGAGCTGCTCGTGCTGGAGGTACGGGAGCTACTGATGCTCTTCGCCACCTTCTCAGTCTTCCGCCATGTGCTACTGACTTCCCTGTGGCAGGTACTACTCTTCAGTTACTGTTTCCACCGGCGGACCAGACGCAGCCGCCACTACTACCACACTCCCCACTGCCTGCTCCTGCTCCTTACACTGAGGTGACACAGTCCCTGACTGAGCGTCGAGAGCCTGAGACTCGTGCTTCCACCCCTGAGCGTCGAGAGCCTGAGTCTAGCTTTGACCTTGAGCCTGAGCCTAGAGCTGCTGACCGTGCTCGTGTTCCTCATGTTCGTCGTCCGCGTGCTCCGGCTGTCCCCGGCACTCACGATATGACACTCCGTCCTTCCTCTGTTCCTCAGCGTGTTGTCCTACCGTTACCTCCCGCGTCCTCTCTGCCTGACGTTGCTGACCCTCCGTCTGACCTTGCTCGTGCGTCCAGTCCGACTGTTACTTGCCTTCTTGCTATGGTTGTGACGGACCCTACGTTCTTGTCTCCTGCTGCATCTGCCCTCGTAGCTGAGCTCGTTGACTTTGCTGCTGTGTACCGCCTAGACTACCTTGCGAGTCTTGTCTCTGACCCTGTCCCTGTCTGTCCTCCGTCCGTCGGGGGTGAGACTGCTCTTGGCTGTACTGCCCTTGGCTGTGACGTTCTTGAGGACAGACAGGAGGAGCTGAAGTGCCTTGCTGTCGCTTCACCCCATCACACGACCATGCTGCTTGCCCCTGAGGGAGACCCGGATGCACTTGACATCCCCACCCCGCGCTCCTACAGGGAGGAGATTTCGGGTGAGTACTCCTCTCAGTGGCAGACAGCCATGGACACAGAGATGGCTTCCTGGAAGTCCACAGGCACCTACATCGACGAGGTTCCCCCACCTGGGGCGAACATCGTCAGTGGCATGTGGATTTTCAGGGTGAAGCGGTCGCCGGGTTCTCCGCCTGCCTTCAAGGCACGTTACGTTGCTCGAAGCTTCAGTCAGCGTGAGGGGGTCGACTTCTTTCAGACCTTCTCCCCCACCCCGAAGATGACCACTCTTCGGGTGTTGCTACACGTTGCAACTCAGCGTGACTACGAGCTGCACTCCCTCGACTTCTCGACAGCTTTGTTGCAGGGTAGCCTTCACGAGGCCATCTGGTTGCGCTGTCCACAGGGCTTCACTGGGTCGTTTCCTGAGGGTACCCAGTGGAGCCTACGGCGACCAGTGTACGGCCTGCGTCAGGCGCCCCGCGAGTGGCACGACACACTGAGGACGACACTTGCGGCTCTTGGGTTTGCTCCTTCGACTACTGACGCGTCGCTGTTTCTACGCACCGACACTACTCTGTCGCCGTTCTACATCTTCGTGTACTTCGACGACTTGGTTTTTGCTACTGCTGACACTGAGGCACTGGCCCTAGTGAATTCGAAGCTGTAGGAGAGACACACCTACACTGACCTGGGTGAGCTGCGAAGCTATCTTGGCTTGCAGATCACCCGGGACAGAGCACGGTGCACCATCACCCTGACTCAGTCACACATGGTGCACCAGGTCCTTCAGCGCTTCCGCTTCACGTATTCCTCGCCACAGCCCACTCCTCTGGCTACCGGCTACTCGCTCTCAGCTCCACCTTTGGACGAGTCCGTAGAGCCGAGTGGTCCGTACCCAGAGCTTGTGGGTTGCCTCATGTACCTGATGACGTGCACACGACCTGGCCTCGCGTATCCTCTCAGCCTCTTGGTTCGCTACGTGGCACCTAGTCGACACCGAAAGGTGCACTTTGATGTTGCGAAGAGGGTACTGCGTTACTTGTGCAGCACATCGGGCATGGGGCTCGTGCTTGGAGGACGGGGTTCAGTGGTCCTCACAGGACACTCTGACGCTTCTTGGGCCGACGACCAGGCGACTCAGCGTTCGTCACAGGGCTACACCTTCAGTCTTGGCGTTGGTTCTGTCTCGTGGAGGTCCACTCGTTCTTCTTCTGTGCTTGGTTCCAGCTGTGAGGCCGAGATCTACGCTGGGGCCATGGCTGCACAGGAGCTCCGCTGGCTGACCTACCTGCTGACCGACTTGGGGGAGCGGCCTTGTTCTCCTCCAGTTCTGTACGTCGACAACAAGGCAATGCTTGCCTTGTGTCACGAGCAGAGACTGGAGCACCGAACGAAGCACATTGCTCTTCGCTACTTCCTTGCGCGTGAGCTGCAGCAGCGTGGTCAGCTGCGCCTTGCTTTCGTGGCCTCTCGGGCCAACACTGCTGATGTCTTCACCAAGGCCCTTGAGGCTGGTGATCATCAGCGTTTCTGCACTGCTCTTGGGCTTGTGCCCACTCTGCCTCACCTGCTGGTTGCTTGACTTGCTCTTGTTGTACACTGATATATATCTTTATACCTGCTTGTTTTCTCTTGCTAGGTTGTGTTCAGTGTACTGCCTTGCTATTATATACCTCTGCATGTGAACTGGCCTTGTGGCCGCTTGCTTGTGCTCAGATTGTGTGGTGTCCTTGAGATCCACCCTGAGCTTTGTTTTGCTTTGCTTTGTTTTGCTTGTTTTGCTTTGAGATTGCTTTGTTTTGCTTTGCTTGTTCTCTTGCTTGACTGGTCTTGTGACCATCTGTTGTGTTTGCTATCTCCCACTTAGCCTATGGGGGTGTGTCAAACTGTATGTTTGTCTTCTCTCTAGGCTATAGTGGGTTAGCCTACAAGGGGTACAACACTTTAGGGTTAGGTACTTGTACTCATGCATGCTACCTAGTCCACCATTCCTGCCTGCTTATTCTAACAGCTACACGTGTCTATGCTGTAGGCTGTCTATAGATATAACATACGGTAGTTTTTTTCATGGGATACTAACTGTACCACCCCCCCCTGTATGCCCGCTTTTGTTCATTCTTTCTCGAGTTCACACATGTTTCTGAACCATTTTCGAACATATCTATGAGAAATATGATACAGAGAAGATACAGCAATCATACTCGCACAAAAGCTGCTGCTGAGCAACAGTTAAGTAGATTTATGTGAAGGCTGATCTGTAAGTCTGGTTAAAGCGGCAGTATACATTTGTCAGTGGGATTTAGAGGCAACTTTTCAAGTTTCTAAGGATTTTGAACCCCTCCTTTCAAATGTATACCGGCGCTTTAAAGCAATGGTGCATAACAGGGCCTCAGATTCACTTTTAGGGTCGTCACCCCATCAGGGTCCCCCTGCGTGTTAACTCTGATTTTCAGTGTCCCAAAAAAAAAAAGGCTGAAATGTCAGTGTTGCGAATTTTTAAAGCCTGATGCATCAGTGTACCTTTTGCAAAAACACTGACTCTATTTTAAAGTTCTACTTCTAGATGGCGGAAACGGTGGATGGGCTGGGCGGCGTGGAGGATGGCACGGTGCTTGCCAGCACAGCCCAAACCTAACGCATCGCACATGATGGGTACGGGGCAGGAACCTTGGCAGCCCGCCAGCACCACATGTCTGCCACATTCGGATTCGCCAACACTGGATGCTGCAGCGAAACGGCCCAATGGTGTGAGGCGCCCCGCCAAAAAAACACCTCTCAACGTGAACCTAAGGCAACATTTCTAAGGGTGGTCCCGCCACGGGGTGCCTACATACAGGGAATCTGAGATTCCCTGCAATTGCGGTCGAGGTGACATGTCACAGGTGAGATTCGCTTTCAGTGTCGGTTTCGTTACAACGTAGTGGCATCAGTGTACAACGGGAAAAAAACCTGAAATATCAGTGTGGCCAATAAAAAAACGCTGAAAGATCAGTCCTACAAAAATCCCAACTCTGACTTTTCAGGGTAGCTTGAAAATCGGCTGCCAAAATCAGGAATTTCAGGGTTTTTTTCCTGATATCTGAGGCCCTGGTGCATAATCCAGCATTAGATGTTAGAATCTCAGCTTACGGTAAGCACAGCTTCATGCCCTCCCACAACGACGACACGGTACAGTCATACCCTCCATTAAGTGAGCGGAAAAGGTTCACTTTCTTCTTGTATCGAGATGCAATCAGCTTGCCACAGGTATCCCCTTTCCTAACGTAGTAGAACCGGCGAGTATCGCACTGCGACCCTCCAGAACCCGACCGCATGTCCGTCAATATGCACACCTGGTGTGAGGGGTCAACCCACAAATCCACCCAGATTTAGGAGCTTGTCATGCACGCCATGCCGAAATGCAATTTCCAGCAACCATGAGAATACCACAATAAGATGTCCTGCCATACAACAACACCAAGACCAAGACCATCAGTCGCCAATGAACGAATCCATAACACCCACCAACCAGATAACCATGTTTCATGTCAAGTACTGAATCTGTTTTTTGAGAATTCGTGTGGAGAACAGTCGATCTAGCCAATAACACCGGGCAGCACGTGGCCTTAACAAAAGAGCAGCAAGGCTGAGCTGAAAAAGGGTTCGCAAAGCCGAGATCATGCGAGTGCCATGTGAAATTCAGTTGACCCACTCACCGAGTCGAGAACAAATCACAGGCGCAAGTCATCACAAATCACTCACCGAGTCCAGAACAGAGTCGTCCCACCCAGCTGCACCGGGCAGCAGTTGGTCACAGTAGAGAGCGGGGTTGGCGAGGAAAAGCTTTGAGATGCTCATGAGGCTGAACCCGTAACCGAGCCTGGAGAGCTGCTGGCATGTGTGCGAATCCAGATCGAGCACGTGATGCACCATGCAGCCCGCCACCGCGGGCGTGCGGACGTCAGGGTTGTTCCGCACACATATTCGCTGCATGGAGGGAGGGGTGGGGAGGGGGGAGGCGGGGGAGAGGGAGGGGGTTGGGAGAAGAGGGAGAGAAGGGGGGAGGGTGGGAGTGGGGAGAGGCAGGGAAGGAGGAGGGGAGGGGAGAGATTTTTAGGTGGTGAGGTGCCATGGTGAGCTACAGAGCTGGCGCTGGAAAGGTGGGGCTCGTGCCCTCCTTCCAGGGCTGCTTTTCTCCTTCCAGGGCTGCTTTTCTCCTTCCAGGGCTGCTTTTCCCCTTCCAGGGCTGCTTTTCTCCTTCCAGGGCTGCTTTTCTCCTTCCAGGGCTGCTTTTCTCCTTCCAGGGCTGCTTTTCTCCTTCCAGGGCTGCTTTTCTCCTTCCAGGGCTGCTTTTCTCCTTCCAGGGCTGCTTTTCTCCTTCCAGGGCTGCTTTTCTCCTTCCAGGGCTGCTTTTCTCCTTCCAGGGCTGCTTTTCTCGGCCACCACAACATCTCCCTGCTGACACAACGTTTCCCTGCTGGCACAACATCTCCCTTCACAATCACTTTTTCACTCACACCGTGAACACTTAGGGCGTCCCGACATTTAATCAGATTTGGCTAAAAAGCTATTGGGGCGATTCATAAAGCTAGCACGTTACTTTGTAATTCTTGGCTAGTTATTGCCTTCAAGCACCATAGGAAAGTGGCCATGGGTGGTAGGCTACAATTCCCATGCTTAGGCTTGCTGACACGGTTGGCCGAACACAGCCAACAACCACACCAGAGAAGCGATCAGGAAGGATTATCTTTAGAGTCGACTCAAAAGTCATCAGTAAAGGTCTCAGGAAGGGATTGTAAAAGGGGAAGGGATTGGGATGGGATCTGACCTTTCCAGGTACAAGAGGTTGTGAGCAGTCAATGTTACGGTTTAGATCTGTTATGTTGGTGTCAAGAAGGGTGTTGATCGACGTGCACGTGTCACCCTGGGGTGGGTGGGTGGGGGGGAAGGGGGGTGGTGTGGGGTTGGTTGCATGTGAGAGTGAAATGGAGAGTAGGGAAGAGCGGAAGTAAACAATACGATTCCGGTGTGAGTTTAATGCAGCGGGTTTGAGACAGCGTTGGCATGCAATGCACGTGTCACTGCGGTTCATTGCGGTGCGTGTTGGTCAAGGGTTGTGTGACGCAGGGGTGTGTGGCAGGGGGAAGGGGATGATGTGTGGAGATGGAAAGGCATGCATTTGCAAGCAGTGAATGGTGACGGCTGCTACACTCGCCTTTAGGAAACCATTCTGTAACCTGTTAAAGAAAGCACATGTGTAACTTTGGGGCAGGAATGGGCAGAGGGGCATGTGTCACGCCAGGCTAGACAGAGGGGCTGAAGAAGAAAGGCAGCTCGCTAAACGCATCCAGTCTTCAAACCAACCAAGAACCGACCGTGTCTCTCCATGTCATAATAAGCAGCCAACCATGCCTCACCTGGTTGGTGGTATACATGCTGCTGCAATTCTTGCTAGCAGATGCCGACACGTTGACTACCAACCCACGAGGTATGGGCTTATCACATGCCATGCCCTGCCGTACAGAGATAGCCACAACACAGAATAGGCACAACATAACGTTGGTTGAGAGAGATTCCATGAGAAGGGCGAAACACAGCATCAACAAAGCAACCGAGCATTCGTATGAGGGTGAAACACACAGAACTGTGTTAGGATTCAGATTTCAGAACATGAAGAGCCTTTGAATCTGATGTAGTGATTCTACCAGGATTGGAAAAAGACATGTCCCCTTGTAAACAACAATCAAACATGTTCCGGTTCGAGTTTCCCGGCTTGTGAAGTGTCTGCTTCTAATCCCTGCTCCTTTAGCTCATGTGCTTCTTAATGTTTTACAGACGGTACAATAATCGTACAAACTTAAAGGACAAGCAAGAAGTGGCTTGGGGAAGCAGGCAAAATCGTCAGCAGGTGTTCAACAGCTCATTGTTACGAAAGTGTTCTTATACACACGCCTCACCTCATCACCACACCTCACCTTATCACACCTCACCTCATCACACCTCACCCCATCAGCACGCCTCACCTCATCACCACACCTCACCTCATCACCACACCTCACCTCATCTGAACGCCCCACGTCATCAGCACGCCCCACGTCATCAGCACGCCTCACCTGGTTGCTCTCCAGCAGCTCTTGAGGTGAGAGGTCAAAGATGTCGAGCAGCAGAGGGCATGTGAGGCCGGGGGGTGCTGGGAAGAATGGCACTCGAGTAGCAGACTCACTCACTGATGGACAGAGGGAAGAAGGGGAAAATGGGGGTGGGGGGGGTGAGGAGGAGAGGGAGAGGTGACAGAGGGGAAAGTGTGGGGGGGAGGAAAGGGGACAAAGGGCAGAGGGAGAGCGGGGGGGGGGGAGAGAGGGGGGGTGGGTGTATAAGGGGAAAACAGAGTGGGGCAAAGGGCGGAGTTGGAGAGAGACGGCACAGTGAAGCAAGGAGCTAAAAGCCGTGTAGCAATGAAGGGCATGTGAGGGGGGAGCCGGCCGAGTTCATTGGAACAAAAGGGGATGCGGGGAGAGCAGAAGACGAGGCAGGGAAAAACAAGTATTGGTGAGTTTTCATCGCTATCCAGAAGTGGGGCCAGCGGTTGACTGCTTCAGTTGTGAGCAGGTAGGAGAGACTGGGGGAGTGGTAGGCCGCCGGAGTAGCAGAGAGAATAGGAGTGGTAGGCTGGTCGTGGGAGGAGGAGGATCATAAAGCACGAGAATAGCAAAGCATTCAGTCAGTCAGTTAAAGTGCCTAGAGAAGAGCCACATTAGGCTCTGTTCGGTCGGTGCTGCCAAGTGAAGAAACTTTGGATAGCACTGAGGGTTATGCATTCGACAAGCACCTCATACATGAAAAAAAAAAAGAATCAATGCACACGAGGACCTCTTCTTGTGCACTCAACGCACACGAGGACCTCTTCTTGTGCACTCAACGCACAGGAGATTAAAACTCATGAAGGATCTCGCCCTCCTGACCAGAGTTTCAGAGTATCCTCAAGCGGCTGGCCCAGAATTAACATAGACTACAGCTAGTATAAATAGAAATTATATTAAAGTCAGGGTTAGCAAACCGGGCGGGCAGAAACCAGGTAAGGTGATCGCCAACCTTGAGAGGCCAGATGATCGCTTCAAGCAGTTGATTGAAGTGATTCAGATGAGTTACAAGGTAACGTTGGGGAGAGGTTAGTGTACCTTGGTTACAGGGTTGCTTGAGGGGGTTAGAGTAGTCGAGGGGGAAGAAGGAGGGCGGGCAGAGGCAGAAGGAGGAGGCATTATAGCCCTCCAGGCACACGCCAGGCGCACACGTGTCAGTGCTGTTAAGACGACATGTGGGGAACTCTGGACGGACAGTGGACGGGGAGAGTGGAAATGTAGAGGGGTTAGCGGTGGGGGGGGTGTCAGGGATTAGATCGTGAGTAGGCTGAAGAGATTATGGGAAGTCAGGATGTATGACTGTGGCAGCCTTGAGAGCGAGGAAGCTGAAGGGGAATTTGCCTGGGGTCCTTGAGACAGCATGAGCATGTATGTTAATCTGTAACCACAATTGTGAAACGTTTATTCAAAATGCAAACATCCACTGTAGCGTATTTCTTATTGATTGATTGGCTGTAGCGTATTTCTTATTGATTGATTGGCTGTAGCGTATTTCTTATTGATTGATTGGCTGTAGCGTGCTGTCAGGGTTGGAGCCACAGACAAGACACATTAAAAGAAGCTTGCGACTGAGGCCGGTGAACTGAGAGGGCAAGAGCACGGGCTAAGGCAATGGAATGGATACCCTTGTAAAGTACCCTTGTCAAAAAGTACCCTCGTCAATACCCTTGTGCACTATTCGCACGGTGGAACAGGTCTGGGCTTACCATTGTGGCATGTTTGGAAGGCGGGCATTTGGGGGAGCTTGTAGCTGGGCTGGCTGAGAGGGCATGAGCACGTGCTGGTGTATGTGCCTGTGGCTGCTGACCGCACCGCAGTGCACCTGCCAGCACCGCATGGATTCACGTCCCACGCCGTGCACGGGTTGACGTCTGTGTGGCATGAGGAGGGGGTAAAGACGAGAGGATGATGGAGATGAGAGGGGAGGATGATAGTGGTGATGAGAGGGGAGCAGGGCTGCTGAAGAAAGGAGTAGGAAGGATTTTAAAACTTGGCATGCTCAATCACCGGCAATGCATGCTCAATCACCGGCAATGCATGCTCAATCAGCGGCAATGCATGCTCAATCACCGGCAATGCATGCTCAATCACCGGCAATGCATGCTCAATCAATCATCGGCAATCACACTCAAGTCACACACAACTGCGAAATCAGAAGGTCCACCTTTGATGCACTTAAGCTACAGATACAAAGCACACGTGAATGCACACAAAAACATGCACAGACACACGCACATAACACTCACCCAAACCCTTCACACGAACCTGTGAATCGGAAGGTTCACGTATGATGCACTTAAGCTACAGATACAAAACACACGTGAATGCACACACACACATGCACAGACACACGCACATAACACTCACCCAAACCCTTCACACAAACCTGTGAATCGGAAGGTCCACGCTTTGATGGACTGAACACACGCCTGCGTGTTGGCACTGCTGAACCCAGAAAACACCGGAATCACTCCCTCAGTGCTGCTGTTGCCATCATAGAACACAGCGCACAGGTCAAGAGTCAGCTTCACACTCCCCATCCTTGTAGCTCCTCTATAAATCACCGCCTCTAGTGTCTTAGTGGCAGCCGTATAGTCCACCCTCATGCTGTATAACGAGGATGAAGTGTATCTCTTTTGAGACGAAGAAGCCAGCCGTCGAGTCACGTTAAAGTCAGTGTGAACGGAGAGAATCGCCACATCCTTGTTAACGTCACAGTTAGGGTCAAGGCCGCTAAAGGCATCAAACATCACCGCCACACTCCTCCCTCCGTCCGCCCACGTCCCATTTGCACTCCTGTCTACTGAGTCGTGCCCATACCCCATAGCCGCCCCTCCTTGCCCCACCCCCGGCCGAGTACTTAGCACAAAAACCACCCCGTATCCAGAGAATCCGCTTCCCTTAAGCTCAAAAGGAAACCACGAGGTGAAGGACCGAGCCTTGCACACCACAACATCAGTCTTCCCGCCCTTGCTCTTCTTGCGGGAAGCAGGGGCCGGGACGAGCGAGAGCAGGGGCAGGGGGAGGGGGAAGAAGGCAGCGCCTGCCTCGTTATCATCGTTGCCGGGGGTGAGTTGAAGCGACGAGAAGGTTTGGTGAGTGGAACCCAAGGCAGTGAAGCGGGCGCCTTGTGTGAGGAAAGGGAAGGAGAACGATGGCGGCAGCCAGAGGGGAGGAGGAGCCGGAGCTGAGAGAAAGGGAGGTGCGCGTGTTTAGGGGGAAGAGAGGAAACAAAGGGAAGAGAGAGGAGGCAGGATAATATAAGAACTATATATATTGTAGCGTGCTAAGTGTTTGTGACTGTACATCAGATCTAGGTTGGCATAAACGCGTTTGGCGTATATACGCGTTTCGTATATACGCTAGCGTTTGCACGCTATACGCTTGAGGGACCTGATCGAGGATACGCTTTTCCGGGCAGGAAAAAAACTTTCCGGGCAGGGTGGAAAACAATGTACTCCCTATTCTCACTAAGACGCGCCCTAAAATTCTCCTTAGTCCGATCGGCGGGTGGGGTGGGACGTGGAGTAGACATATTAACTAGAGAGAGGAGTGGGTGGGAACTCCGCTGGAAGCGAGAATTATACGTGAGTTGGGCTGGCTGGTGGTAAGTAGCGTGGGGTTTGTTGGGGGGTCAATTTTGAGCAGGTTTTAGCTCGTAGATGAGATGGTTTTCAATGCGGTGAAAGGGTTGGGTTACAATGCCTAGATGAGATCTGAAATCCAACAGTCGATTGTCAAATGTGCCTGCAAACTTCGAAGTCAGATCCCAGCTTGCGTAGACCGCGGATTTGCTCACCACGAAAATCCGCATCTTTTTTGCGATTTTTTTTTCGGGCTGCCCGAAAAATTCAATGGCTGCGTATAGCGTATTCGCTAGCGTTTAGCGTATTGCGTGTAGACGCTAGCGTCCATACGCTAAACGCAGAGGGCCTTGAGCGTATATTCCAACTTAGCATCAGATGTGTACTGTCGAGCAAGGTTCAAAAAAACGGTTTTCGTAAAATACGGTCCGTTTTTTCCGGTCGTTTTTTACGGCGATTTTTCAAAAAAACCGCCGTTTTTTTGTTAGAGAACTGTGGTCACCAAGAAATTTTTGGGAAAACAAGGTCAAACACATTTCCAATCATTCCAACAAGCGCACACATGCAACAAGGGGCCCGTCCCCTTCATCCTGCTCAGATTCAGATTCAATTTGATCCCATAAAGTGGCCGATTTGTTAATTAAACTGAAAACACCTCCTGGAACCGTTTGTAAACCGTTTTAAACGGTCGATTTTACCGTACCGCTTTTTACGGTAAAATTTCAATAAAACGGTCGTTTTTCGTACGCGACGGCTAAGACATGCACACATTTCCGAACAACCGGTTACGCCAGCAGCAGCGACTCGCGGCGCCGCCGGTCACCGCATCATCGCGTCTCTTCAGCCTTAACTACCGCCAAGCCTTCCCCCTCTACGCCTCCCGCTCCGCTCCAACCCCCGCCCAGCCCAGCGGCTTTGCTGCGCTACCCTCCGCCCAGCCCCTGCTGCACTAAGTCCCGCCCGCCCAACCCAGCACTGCCGTACTACCTACGCCTTCCACCCACGTTTCCCCTCCCCCCCAATCCACCCCCGGCCCAATTGCTCCTCCCCACCTCCCCTATCATATATCTGTCATCTCTCCCTCTCTCCCCCGCTCCCTTATCTCCCTCCCCCCCTTTCGTTCGTTGATTCTCCCGCCCAGCGGCTTCCAGAGCTGCACGTCGATCCGTCGTCTTGTCACATTTCCCGCTCCCTTAATTACGATCCCATCCATCATCCCCCCCCTCAACTCCTACCCCCTCAACCACATCTCCCCCCTCTCCCGCCTCCCCCTCCTCCCAGCTCCCTCGTTGAACCTCCTGCGCAATGCGGGCTTCGAGGAAGTTTCTGCTGCAGCAGACTGGCCCTCGCCCCTGTCCTCCTGGGTGCCGCTCGTCCCCGGCGCAGCAGGGCAGCAAGGGCAGGGGGCGGGGGAGGGGGGAGGGGGAGGGGACACTCCCCCCGGAGACCCGTCCGTTGCTGCTGAGGGCGGTCGATTCGTTCGCCTGCAGCCCAGCGACGGCAGTGGCGGCACCAGTGGCGAGCTTTGGGGCAGCGGGGCGAGCGAGAGGGAAGGGGCAGGGTGGCCGGTGCAGGGTCTGGGGCAGCTGCTGTGTGTTGTGGACGGGGGAGAGCAGCAGCAGCAGGGGGAGTTTTCGCTGTATTTCTATGCGAGGGCACGCGAGTGCATGATGGATGCGTCTTCAGCCTCTGGATTGCGGCCGATGCGAGCCATGATCGTCGCCGTGCCCCTGCCACCACCACCAGCCAGTGCCACTGTCGGCAGCACTGGCAGTAGCAGCGTGGACGAGGGTGAGCTGGGCAGGGCGTTAGCAGCAGGCATGCACAGCGGGGAGATGGTGGTGCTGCATCAATGGACCATCGGCGTTCCCTGCCTCAACAACAACTCCAACTCTCTCTCTGGCCTCCTCCCCTGGCGCCAGCACTGGCCCTTCTCCTTCCACCTCCCACCCTCCTCCGCCTCCGCCGCTGCTCTCTCCTTCCCGCCGCAAGGCGTGTCTCTGCACCTCGTGCTGCTGGAGGGCAGTGGGGCGGACAACGGCGGCATGGGGTCGGGTGGCCCGGTGGTGTTGCCTGGTCCCGTTTGGGTGCCCGTTCCCGGAGCCCCCTTCCAAACTGGGGGCTCGTCTGGGACTGGGGGCTCGTCTCTGCCGGGGGGCTCGCCTCTGCCCGGGGGTGCGTCCGCGGCAGGAGCTGTTCCATTGACAGCAGTGGAAGGCGGGGAGCTCACGTCGGCGGCAGCGGCAGCAGGGAGCATCGACATCGACCTGGTCACGGTGGCTCCCAGAGGCACAGGTGCGCTCAGAGGCACAGGTGCGCTCAGAGGCACAGGTGCGCTCAGAGGCACAGGTGCGCTCAGAGGCACAGGTGCGCTCAGAGGCACAGGTGCGCTCAGAGGCACAGGTGCGCTCAGAGGCACAGGTGCGCTCAGAGGCACAGGTGCGCTCAGAGGCACAGGTGCGCTCAGAGGCACAGGTGCGCTCAGAGGCACAGGTGCGCTCAGAGGCACTGGTGCGCTCAGAGGCACAGGTGCGCTCAGAGGCACAGGTGCGCTCAGAGGCACAGGTGCGCTCAGAGGCACTGGTGCGCTCAGAGGCACTGGTGCGCTCAGAGGCACAGGTGCGCTCAGAGGCACTGGTGCGCTTCTTGCTTGGGATCACAGGTGTTCTTTCTACTCACTAAAAGTCAGTTGCACCGAGCACCAGGCGATCAAAATCTTGGGAGCACAGCACAGTGTGATTCGCCTAACAAGCCGCTGGCTACACTTACATGAGGGAGTGTGGATGACATATGAGCAAGTACATATGTGTGACATGTGAGAGGACTATATGGACTCTGCATCCTTTGGAGATCGTTGTTTCTCATGACAGTTCCTTGTGCAACTTAATTCTATTCGTTGCTCACGCCCAAGCCAAGCACATCCACGCCAATTCTCTTTTTTCTCTTTCCTTTCCCCTCCCTCCCCTCCCCACAATTTTCAGCAGCCTCCGCCCCTCCGTCCTTCTCCTACTCCCTGTTAACCTCCTCCTCTCCTATCCTCACCTCCGGCTCGGCCCGCCTCCTCCCCTCCTCGCTGCGCCTCACCCCGCTCTCTCCCCCCCACCAAGCGGGCCTTGCCCTGCACCCCACGCCCTTCCCCCTCGTCTCCCCCGCCTCCCCCACCTCCCCCTGCCGCCCCTACTCCTTCTCCTCCTCCTTCTCCTTCCGCCTCTCCTCCCCCCACCCCGCTGCTCTCGGGGCCGACGGCTTTGCCTTCGTTCTCCTGCCTGACCCGACCGTCGGGCTGCCCGGGCCAAACATGGGGTACGGCAGAAGGCCTTACAGTCAGGAGGAGGTGTTTGTGGCTGCAGATGGGGGAGGACTTGGAGGTGGGGCAATAGGGGAAGAGGAGTGTGTGGTAGTGAACGGGGCCTTTGTATGCACCCCGATTGGCAGCAGCAGCGGCAGTGGCATCACATATAACAGCAGCCTGCCACATCAGCACAGCCTGGCAGTGGAGTTTGACACGTCATCAACCCGTCTGTTTTCGGACCCAACCACTCACCACGTGGGGGTGAACGTGGATTACAGCATGACGTCAGCAGGCCTTGCGTCCGTGCACCCCGCGGGCATGGCCTCGCTGGGCGGCAACGAGACGCTGCATGCGTGGGTGGCCTACAACGCCACCGCCTCGCTGCTCTCCGTGCGCCTCTCCTCCTCGCCCGCCATGGCCCCCTCCGCCCTCCTCTCCCTCCCCTTCAATGCCTGCGATCTTTTTCACATTGCTCCAAAGGAGGAAGGCGGGGAGGGGGAGGCTGTGTTGGTGCATGCGGGGTTTGCAGCCGGCACGGGGCTGCTGCCGCTGCACACTCAGACGCACGACATCCTCTCCTGGGCCTTCCTGGTCGACACCCAAGGTGAGCGGGGGAGTGGCAGCCAGCAGGAAGGGCAATTGCGTGGGGTGGGGATGTTTACAATTTGCCAAGAGAGAGGCAAGGATTGAATGAGAGGGGAGTGTACTCGTAGTGTTCCTCCTGCCCACTTCCTCCGTTTCTCTCCTCTCTTCCTTACCTATCTATCAGCCCCATCCACCCACCTTTTGCATGTGGTGGGGGTGATATACCCGTGAGTGAAGATTTAATAGAGCAGTTTGCATTCGGTAGAACAAACGAGGCATACATACATACATACAAATCCAAGTGAAGATTGGGAGGGAAGGGGGCGGTTGAGGGCAAGTCGTGGTTGTTTGTACACCTAACTCAATCATCATTGGTTCCTAAATGCGGTTGGAAGGACCACCCACAACGAAGGGGCCATGGAGTGTAGGACAAACAACAAGCTTGTACTTGTGGGCTTTTTCACAAATGGGTGGATTGACACCCCAAGAACAAATGTACACCCACAATGTATTGATTGATGGTATTATGATGTCACACCAAATAGGCGTTACCAATGTGGCACAACTGATAGGACTGGCTGCTGCTGGGCTGCCACTGAGCACTGAGTGCAATGCGTACACTCATGGGGGTGCACTCATGAGTCAATACCATGACATGAGCCATGCTCTGCTGTGCCATGCTGGCTGTCGTGTAGAGTGCTGTCAGAGTTGGTGCCACAGATGTGGTTAGCACCTTAGAGTAAGCTTGCAGCTGGGACAGGTGAACTGAGATGAGAGGGCAAGAGCACGGGCTAAGGCAATGGAATGAATACCCCTGTGAAGTGAAATTGATTCTAGTCAGGATTTAACCTTGTCAATACCCTTGTGCATTCTGAGGTGACACATGTCCAGGCTTACCATTGTGGCACGTTTGGAAGGCAGGCATTTGGGGGAGCTTGTAGCTGGGCTGGCTGAGAGGGCACGAGCACGTGCTGGTGTATGTGCCTGTGGCTGCTGACCACACCGCAGTGCACCTGCCAGCACCGCATGGATTCACGTCCCATGCCGTGCATGGGTTGACGTCTGTGTGACATGGGGAGTGAGGAGAGACACGGAGAGGATGAGGGCGATGACAGGGGAACAGGGCTGAACAAAGGAGAAGGAAGGAGTTTGTCAGTTGAGTGGATTAATGGATGCATTGTTTCCATTGAACGGTTTTACACAGTGAAGGCATGCTCAATTACCAGCAATGCATGATAATTTGGGATAGAATCAGACAATGGATGTGGCACATGGAACCAACTCAAGTGTGCATGTACAGATGCATGCACAAGCATACCCCCCCCAGCCACACACAACTGTGAAACCAAAATTTTACGTTTGATGGACTGAACACTTACACACACTGATGCACTTAAGATACAAATACGAATCACACGTGACTGCGAACGAACACATGCACACACACACGCACACAACACTCACCCAAGTTACCGATGCATGCATGAATGCACACACACACATTCATAGACACACACATGCACACGCACTCACTGTGAAAGCTTATAGTTGAACCAATGATGTGATTCGAGGAGGAACAAGCATACATAGGTTGGATGGATAGCTTGAAGGGAAAAGGTTGGGTTGACCATAGGTTGGGTAGGCCTCACTTTAGGAAGTGAGGCAACCTAAGGTCAAGTGCGTTGGGTTGACCACACTTTGTGGGAAGTGAGGTAACCCAACGCCCACTTGGGTTGGGTTGGCCTCACTCTTGGGAAGTGAGGCAACCTAAGGCCAAGTGGGTTGCATTTGGTGGCTCCACCACAATTGGGTTGGATTGGCACCCCACAATACAAGACTATACCCAAAGTTGGGTGTAGTCCCAACCCACTTGTACACCACAATTGGTGTACATTCACAAGTGTTAGCATGGTAGAACATACAATTCTAACACTCACCCAAACCCTTCACACAAACCTGTGAATCGGAAGGTCCACGCTTTGATGGACTGAACGCATGCCTGTGTGCTGGCACTGCTGAACCCGACAAACACCGGAATCACTCCCTCAGTGCTGTTATTGCCATCGTAGAACACAGCGCACAGGTCAAGAGTCAGCTTCACACTCCCCATCCTCGTAGCTCCTCTATAAGTCACTGCCTCTAGTGTCTTAGTGGCAGCTGTATAGTCCACCCTCATGCTGTATAACGAGGATGAAGTGTATCTCTTTTGAGACGAAAAAGCCAGCCGCTGAGTCACGTTAAAGTCAGTGTGAACGGAGAGAATCGCCACATCCTTGTTAACGTCACGGTTAGGGTCAAGGCCGCTAAAGGCATCAAACATCACCGCCACACTCCTCCCTCCATCCGCCCACGTCCCATTCGCATCCCTCTCTTGCGCGTCTCGCCCATACCCCATACCCGCCCCTCCTTGCCCCAACCCCGGCCGTGTACTTAGCACGAAAACCACCCCAAAGCCATTATAGTAGCTTCCCTTGAGCTCAAAAGGAAACCACGAGGTGAAGGATCGAGCCTTGCACACCAAAGCATCAACCTTCCCGCCCTTCTTCTTGCGAGGCGCAGGGGCGGGGAGCAGCGAGAGCAGGGGAAGGGGGAGGGGGAAGAAGGCGGCGCCTGACTCCTCCTGCTCGTTGCCTGGGGTGAGTTGCAGCGAGGAGAAGGTGAGGCGAGTTGAACTTGAGGCAGTGAAGCGGGTGCCCTGCGTGAAGAAGGGGAAGGAGAGCGACGGCGGCAGCCACAGGGCGGGAGGAGCCGGCGCTGGGAGAAAGGGAGGTGCGCGTTTTGGGGGACAAGAGGAAGAGAAGGGGAACAAAAGGGGGAAGAGAGGAAACACAGGGAGGAGAGAGGAGGGAGGATAATATTAGAACTATATATATTGTGCGTAGTGTTAGTGACTGTACATCAAGTGTGATGTACTGTCGAGTTGGGCATGTACCTCATTGGGTGTACATTTGTTCTTGTCCTTGGGTATCAATCCACCCGCTTGAAAAGAGCCCCCCGTTACAAGCTTGTTGTTTGTCCCACACCCCATGGTCCCATCTTTGTGGTTGGTCCTTCCAACCACATCTAGGGACCAATGATGGTTGAGTTGAGGTGCACAGCCAATGGTGTACAACCACCACTTGCCCCCACCCATCCCCTTCCCTCCCCATCTTCACTTGGATTCGTACGTATGCCATGTACTACCTAATGCAAACTAATATATTAGATCATTACTCACGGATATATCACCCCCCCCACATGCAAAGGTGGATGGTGTTGACGGGAAATGGCCCCGCCCTCGCTTGGGCGAAGCCGACTTGCACGGGACCACTGCGAAGCCGCCGACGACTGAAAGCCGGCGGCCAAATTCCACTAGGGTGATCGACGAAGGTGGTCGTCGACCTAAGGGCGCCGCACCGGAGACATTACCCGGTCAACCCGCGCCGGAGACATTACCCGGTAAGCACCTGATGTAGTCATTTGTTGCCTTTGCCATTCCTATCATTGTGTAATCCCTTCGCTAGTGAAACTCTTGCCGCGAATTGCCCCGTGAATGCGCAAATTGTGAGAACACGAGCAAACGCTACCACCCGTGCCTACCCCGTAGTCTACCTCCCACTGGTGTCGAGTGACTCTTCGCAGATGGGGCATTGGGCTGATAGACAGGTGACAAAGGGGGGAGAGGAGCGGAGAAAGTGGATAGGAGGAACAGTACGAGTACCTATGTTGCAAAAGACGCTGGGCGCGTCGTGCGTCCTGCGTCTGGACGCAGCGTCCAGACGCAGGGACGCAGGACGCACGCCGTTTTTTTTTCGGGCTGACCGAAAAAAAAAATGCCCAGCGCGAAACTGACATTCGCGCTTTCGTCGCGAATGTCATGTTCGCGAAATTTCGTCCCCCCCAACACCCATGTCGACCTTGAAAAACCGCCCCACAACCAAGTTTGAAAACCCCCCCAACCATTGTGGTCCACCACCAAGTACTTGTAGGAGCACAAACACTTCATTTGCCTCCAAATCTCGAGCTCACTTCAATTCTCCTTCAAAAACCCTAGTGGGTTTAGCTCCTTCAATTCTCCTTCAAAAACCGTAGAGGGTTTAGCTCCTTCAATTCTCCTTCAAAAACCCCAGAAGGTTTAGCTCCTTCAATTCTCCTTAAAAAACCCTAGACCATGTGTGACTCTTGGGAAACCTGTTTATGGGGGAAAATATGTTGGATGGGGAAAATTTTGCCTCAAATGTGTGGTTCGTCATTCTCCCCCCCTCCTTCCCATGCCCTATAGCATGTTTTTTTGGCTGCCCGGAGGCTTTTTTGCCCTGCCCGGGCATGCGTCTTTTCCAGCGTCTCACAGGGCCCAAAGAAGCGTCCTGCGTCTAAGACGCTGCGTCTGGACGCAAGCGACCTAGACGCAGGACGCGTCTTTCGCAACATAGACGAGTACATATGGCACGCCCCTCTCATTCAATCCTCAGCTCTCTAAACTTTCACACCCATGCAACTGCCCTTCCCCCTGCCACTCCCCCGCTCACCTTGGGTGTCGACCTGGAAGGCCCAGGAGAGGATGTCGTGCGTCTGAGTGTGCAGCGGCAGCAGCCCCGTGCCGGCTGCAAACCCCACATGCACCAACACGGCCTCACCCTCCCCTCCGTCCTCCTTCGGAAAAATGTGAAAGAAATCGCAGGCGTTGAAGGGGAGGTAGAGGAGGGCGGAGGGGGGCATGGCGGGCGAGGAGGAGAGGCGCACGGAGAGCAGCGAGGCGGTGGCGTTGTAGGCCACCCACGCATGCAGCGTCTCGTTCTTGTTGCCGCCCAGCGAGGGGACGCCCGCGGGGTGCACGGACGCATGGCCTGCTGACGTCATGCTGTAATCCACGTTCACCCCCACGTGTTGCACCGTTGGGTCCAGAAACAGACGGGTTGATGACGTGTCGAACTCCACTGCCAGGCTGTGCTGATGTGGCAAGCTGCTGTTATATGTGATGCCACTGCCGCTGCTGCTGCCAATCGGAGTGCATACAAAGGCCCCGTTCACTACCACACACTCCTCTTCCCCTATTGCCCCATCCCCAAGTCCCCCCCCATCTGCAGCCACAAACAGCTCCTCCTGACTGTATGGCCCTCTGCCGTATCCCATGTTTGGCCCGGGCAGCCCGACGGTGGGGTCGGGCAGGAGAACGAAAGCAAACCCGTCGGCCCCGAGGGCAGCGGGGTGGGGGGAGGAGAGGCGGAAGGAGAAGGAGGAGGAGAAGGAATAGGGGCGGCAGGGGGAGGTGGGGGTGGCGGGGGAGATGAGGGGGAAGGGCGTGGGGTGCAGGGCAAGGCCCGCTTGGTGGGGTGGAGAGAGGGGGGTGAGGCGCAGCGAGGAGGGGAGGAGGCGGGCCGATCCGGAGGTGAGGAGGGGAGAGGAGGTTAATGGGGAGTAGGAGAAGGACGGAGGGGCAGAGGCCGCTGGAATTTGAGGGGAGGAGGGAGGGACAAAAAGGGTGAAGGGAAGGGAAGAGTGAGCTGAGCATCATAGACAATGTGAACAACATAGTTGATGTTCAAATTCAAAGGAGAGAAGGAGCACCAAAGACATAGACACCAAGGTATGTAACTTCATGAAACAAGGTATGTAACACTCATGAAACAAATGAAACAAGGTATGTAACCCTCATAAAACAAATGAATCAAGGTATGTAACCCTCATGAAACAAGGGATGTAACCCTCATGAAACAAGGTATGTAACTTCATGAAACAAGGTTCGTAACCCTCATGAAACAAGGTATGTAACTTCATGAAACAAGGTATGTAACCTCATGCAACAAGGTATGTAATCTCATGCAACAAGCAATGTATGTAACCTCATGCAACAAGGTATGTAACCCCTTAAAACAAGGTATGTAACTTTATGAGACAAACTATGCAACCTCATGAGACAAACTATGTAACCTCATGAAACAAGGTGCACAGAGAGGCGACTCATCCAAGGATTGCCCATGCGTGCATCGACTGAACAGAAGCGTCATCAAGAACCTGTAATCCCCACGCAAGAAGCGCACCTGTGCTTCTGGGAGCCACAGTGACCAGGTCAATGTCGATGTTCCCTGCTGCAGCTGCAAACACTGAAACACCTCCCAACGCAGATGCACCCCGTGGCACGAACGCACCGCACCTGTGCCTCTGGGAGCCACAGTGACCAGGTCAATGTCAATGTTCCCTGCTACCAGTGCAACTGACCTGTTGTGAGTGGAGTGAGCACCTGTGGTCCCATGCAAGAAGCGCACCTGTGCCTCTGGGAGCCACAGTGACCAGGTCGATGTCTATGTTCCCTGCTGCCGCTGCCGCCGACGTGAGCGCTCCGCCTTCCACTGCTGCTGCTGCTGCTGCTGCTGCTGCTGCTGCTGCTGCTGCTGCTGCTGCTGCCGCTGCCGCTGCAGCCAAATGAACAGCTCGTGACGCGGACGCATCTCCAGTCACAGCCGCACCCCCTGGCACAGACGCATCTCCAGTCACAGCCGCAGCTCCAGGCACGGTCCCACCCCCAGGCACAGACCCACCCCCCAACGACCCACCCCCAGGCAAGGACCCACCCCCAAACGACCCACCCCCAGGCAGGGACGTGTCTCCGGGAGCGGGCACCCAGATGCTGCCACCCGAGCCCACGCCGCTGCCGCTGCCCGCCCCACTGCCCTCCAGCAGCACGAGGTGCAGCGCAACGCCTTGCGGCGGGAAGGAGAGAGCAGCGGCGGAGGCGGGGGAGGGTGGGAGGTGGAAGGAGAAGGGCCCGTGCTGGCGCCAGGGGAGGAGGCCTGAGAGCGAGTTGGAGTTGTTGTTGCGGCAGGGGACGCCGACGGTCCATTGATGCAGCACCACCATCTCTCCGCTGCTCATAGCGGCTGCTAGCGCACTGCCCAAGTCTCCCTCGTCCACGTTGCTGCTGCTGCTAGTGCTGCCGGCAGTGGCTGGGAGGGGCACGGCGACGATCATGGCTCGCATCGGCTGCAATCCAGAGGCAGAAAACGGACCCATCATGCACTCGCGTGCCCTTGCATAGAAATACAGCGAAAACTCTGCCTCCTCCTGCTGCTGCTGCTGTTGCTGCTGCTGCTGCTGCTCACCCCCGTCCACGACACACAGCAGCTGCCCCAGTCCCTGCACCGGCCACACTGCCCAGTCACTCTCGCTCGCCCCGCTGCCCCAAAGCTCGCCACCGGTGCCGCCACTGCCGTCGCTGGGCTGCAGGCGAACGAACCGACCGCCCTCAGCCGCAACGGACGGGTCCCCGGGGGGAGTCTCCCCTCCCCCTCCCCCCTCCCCCGTTACCACCCCCCCCACCTGCCCTTGCTGCCCTGCTGCGCCGGGGACGAGCGGCACCCATGACGACAGGGGCGAGGGCCAGTCTGCTGCGGCAAAAACTTCCTCGAAGCCCGCATTGCGCAGGAGGTTCAACGAGGGAGCTGGAGGCGGTGGGGTGGGAGGAAGATGGGGTGGGGAGGGAGGGAGGATGGGGGGGATCAATAAGGGGAGCGGGAAATGTGATGTGACGTGAGGTCGAAATGCAGCTGTGGGGGCGGGAAAATCAACGCACGAACGGGAGAAAGGGAGTGGGAAAAGAGGGTGACAAATATATAGATGACAGGGGAGGTGGGGAGCGGCAATTGAGCCGGGGGGGGAAAAGGGAGCGAGGGATGGGAAACGGGGTTCGGCAGATATGGGCGGAGGGGTAGTGCAGCAGATATGGGCGGAGGGGTAGTGCAGCAGATATGGGCGGAGGGGTAGTGCAGCAGAGACGCTGGACTGGGCGGGGGTAGAAGCGGAAGGCATGGAAGCGGAGGCTCGGTGGCAAAGGAAGGCGGCGGAAGAGACGCGCCGCGGTGATGCGATGGCCGCTCTCAGGAGGCGGAGGCAATGCCGCCATTTGCTGCGCGGCTGGCGGAATTGGTTGGGTGTGCGTGGCTGTCGGCGAAAAATTGGGCGAGATGCGGGTGATAATCTCGGCGATTTTCTCATCGTCGATTGGTTACTTCGGGGATTGCAACGATCGGATCGGTACCTTGAAACTCCCTGCGCGGTCCCTTGGATCCCCTGCCACTTGAGCTGCCGCGAGGCAAACGCTACGTGCTTCCGAGAGAGAGCTGCTGCGACGCTACCTTTCGACGTGGCGGCAAGAATCGGTACCTTGAGCTGCGAGGCTGGCGCATGTCGGCACGGCGGCGTTGGCGACGGCGACGAGCGAGAGGAAGTGCGCGCCGGTTATCACAAGCAGGCAAAGAACGACGATGAGGCGGCCTGGACTCCTGATGCCACGTGGAGCCTGCCAATTCGAGGCATGCTTCGGATTTCTGCCACTGAGCAGGGACGCAGCAATTGACTCGCTATACAGTGACCCGTTAAGAATAGCGGATGTTCGGTTCGCATGTGGCATGGAGAAAAGCGCCGCGAGATCTGGCGGCGATCGCGAGGAGAGGGTAGAAGGAGCGAAACTTGCGGTGACGGCAGCATTTGCGCGGCAGAAGAGAATAAGTCTAATGTCTCCGTTTTCAGAATCCGCATTACTGTCCTGTATCTAACCACCCTAACAAGAGGGCGCAGGGTAGCTGGGCCAAAGCTCTGAACCAGGTGCTGAAGCGGAACATACGGCCAGGGGTAATACATCTCAAACCCTAACCACACTGCACCACGTCTGTATCTCAATGAATCGCACCCAACTGCTTTGCACCTTATTGAACTTCGAAATCTGAGCCTTTTCTCACCAATTTGTTGAGGAATATTGGTCCTAGGAGCATCATAGAATGATCGAGTTATTAGGGTAGCAAGTTGCAAACACTTCGGATGCTTGAGGAGGCAGTTGGGGGTGTAGAGTTGTAACCGGGGAAAGCGAGGGAACCAAGTGGTGAAGGGGTTTTGTGGCAGACAGCAGCCGAACGGCCGCACAAATTCGGGTTTTTAGTTTATCGAGAAGCACTACTGGACAAACTTCGCTCCGAAGGCACTGTTAGCGCTGCTGGGGACTAGTTACGTGGATTTCCAATCTGAGAGCGTTCACTTATTACGCTCGTAAGGAAGTCCGACCCTGATTGGTCAAAACAGTTAACAAACAGACGATGACCGTCTGGATAGACGGTCATCGTCCACGTCGACCGGTCAACGTCATTTTTCGGGCAAAATAAATATACCCTCTCAGGTGGTATGCCAACCAGGGAGTCATCAACCCTAAACACCATGCGGCAAGGTGTTTAGGGTTGATGGTTTCCCATCGGTGTGTACTATTTTTTTCCTGGCGTATTTTTGGGAGGGGTCAACCCTAAACACGGGAACGCGTCTGGTGTTTAGGGTTGATCCATTCCCATCGGGGTTTTTTTTTTCGTACGCATTTTCGAGTGAGATCAATCCTAAACACCTTGCCACATGGTGTTTTGGGTTGATACTTCCCCAATCGGATTTTCGACCAATCATATTTTGACTTCCTAACGAGCATAATAAGTGAACGCTCTCAGATTGGAAATCCACGTAACTAGTCCCCAACAGCGTTAACAGTACCTTCGGAGCGAAGTTCGTCTAGTAGTGCTTCTCGATTACCTGAAAACCCCACAAATTCGCGCTGATGTTGGAGTTCGTTGGGTGAAACCAGGGCTTTCGATTCGACGAATCTCTCGACTCGGTCCCTCCCTGATCCCTGACTCGTGAGCAAAAGGTCAACAAGGCTCGCCCTGAAACTGCAGTGTTCCTGGCGCGGAAATGCCAAGAAAGTTGTAGGGCGTTCCCTTGCCTGCCATATATCGGAAGAGAATGTGTTGAACCAGCACTGTATTGTTTTGTTCTCGTGCTGGTGAAGTCTCGAGAGGAACCATGACGGGGAAACGGGCTGAGCGGGAGAACCTGAGAGGCAAGGTCGCCATGGCTACTGCCTTTTGTGAGCAAAAGGTACGGTTTGTCGAGGGGGAAAATGGAGCAAAAAACTCACGTTGCAAAGCAGATAGGGTAAATCGTCCTGATATCCTGAGCCCCCCGAGTGTGTAGGGAGGGGCGACCGAGAGAGGCTGATGGTGTGGGCCCAATCGAGTTTGATCGCGATTGATCTGATCGGGTCGGATCTGATCGGGTTGCTTGTGATCGCAGTGCCCGAGCCGCCCGATCAGAGATGTTTTTTGAAGAAGATTTCCAGCGCCTGCGGAGCAAGCGCTATACATTTACGTCGCATTTTCGTCCCCATTCTAGCGAGATTGGCGACCATACGTCACCTGGCGAAAGTTCTCGTTTCCCTGTAATTTTAACAGTGTAACTACTCGCAAGCGTCGGTGTGGGCCCCGATCACATGCAATCAGGTGATCGCCTGTGATCGAGGAAAATCGACTTTGATCGGGAAAAAAATCGGGTCTGAATGAGTTGGGGCGATCAGTTGATCGCGATCAGCTGATTGCCCCTGATTGCATAAAATTGGCTCCCAGGCTTCCTAGAAATTGCTGATTGCATGTGATCGAGGCGATCAAACTCGATTGGGCCCCAGCCCTGAGAATGTTGGGTTGGGCAAACGTTGTTGTGCTTCCGCACGCGGCACAACCCGACGAACGACATGCTGCCTGCCAGACTGGCACGTTGACATTGTTGAAGGTCAACGCCTGGGTATCAATTCGTTTTAGGGACGTCGTTTCAGTTAGTTTGACGTTGTGCCGCATTCAAGATATATGTAATTTTGATGCATTAAATATCTACGTTTATGTAATTAATCTTCTTATAGAACTCCCCAAGGCCATACAAAAATTAATTGGTTATACATGGCCCTTAGTATGTGAGCCCAGAAGAGACAGGTGGGCCTACAATCGATCAAGTCTATGCATGCATGAACAGGGGCGCTGAGGGACGGTCGTGAGAAACAGGTGGGCTGTGGGACGGGGGGTCAATGCCTCAGCATCACGGTAAGCACAGTTGCATCCCCACCCACAGCGACGAGATAGTGCAGCCAAAACCTCCATTTAGTGACCGGAAAAGGTCCGTTTTCCTCTTGTATTGAGCGGAATCAGCTTGCCACACGTGTCTCCTCTCTTCACAAGGTAGAAGCGTGAGTCACACACTGCATCCTCCATAGCCTGACAGCTCATCCGCGAGCAAGCACACCTGACATGGGGGGTAAGAAAGGAGCGCATTATGGTTGAAGCCACTAATGTCCACACAGGAGTGCTTGAACCATAAAAGTCAGACACACAACAAAAGCAGTGGTCACATAGGCACAACAGCTGCAAAATTGCTTGGACAAAAATCAAGATGCGCGGTTCTTAAAGCCAGCGGCAGACAACAGAAATGGTGTAGGCACACTCTGTATGGAGGATACGGCCAGTCCAGGCAGCAACACCATGCAACAGCTGGCCACAGAAACAAACCCGGTAGAGTCGCACACACTTCGGAAGGCTTCAAACAGGTGAACAAAAACCACACGCGCAGGTCATCAACAACCATTCAATCACCTTATCAACAACAGAGTCGGTCCAGCCAGCAGCATTGGGCAGCAGGAGGGCGGGGTTGACTCGGAAGAGCTTTGCGATGCTCATGACGTGCCATCCAGGGCGCAGCGTGGCGAGCGCCTGGCACGTGTGCGCGGTGGGGTCGAGCGTCTTGTATAGGTTGCAGGCCGCCACTGGGGAGGAGGGGTACCTGCCGTTGTTCTCCACACACACGCGCTGCCGGGAGGGGCGGGATGAGGGGAAAAGGAGGGGAGAGGGTGGTGAAATCCGATGGGAAGCGCATCAAGCTTCTGGCACGTGTGCACACTGGAGTCGAGAGTCTTGTATAAGTTGCAGGCCGCCACCGGGGAGGAGGGGTACCTGGCGTTGTTCTCCACACACACGCGCTGCAGGGAGGACGGGGAGGAGGGGAAGGAGGGGAAAGGGTGGTGATGAGGTGCCTTCACGGACAGCTGGGCTCGCAAGCCTGAGATAAGGCACATGTAGGTCCAAGGTGTCGTTGACACACCCGTCAGATTTAATTTTCCTTATTGGCTTCACAAAAGGGCTCTTCTTGAAAAGGGATCGGAACAGGAACTAAACTGACCTTTCCAGGTATGATAAGTTGTGAGCAGTTTATGTTACGGTTTAGATCTGTTATGTTGGTCCCCAGGAGTTTGTTGATTGACGCGCACGTGTCATCCTGGGGTAAGTGGGATGGCATGAGGGTGAAGATGCGGGAAGGTATGTTATGCGATTAAAGATGTTATGTTGATTCTCAGAATTGTATGCATGTATCTTTCTGGGATGTGTGGGGTCAGGAGGGGCAGAGGAGCAGGGAAGAAGGTGGGAAGAAACAAATGCAAGTTGCAACTGAACATGCAATAATTTCACCAATCCTAGCCCAATCCTGATTTGGTATTCTAGCTAGTCCAACCTCTTCATGCATAACATTATTTCCTTTCTTTTATCTCTCCTACCGATGTTGATTCTTTCAACCTAGTTGGTGGTGCACGTGCCTCACCTGGTTGGTGGTATACATGCTGGTGCAGCTCTTGTTAGCAGATGCCGACACGTTGACTGTCAACCCACGAGGTATGGGCTTGTGGCATGCCAGGCCCTGCCAAGCCAACCACATGGGAACGATGCAGCACGGAATCGTTTTATCAAGCTGGTTAAGATACAAATCATTGGGCCCATTGAAGAAATTGGGTACATTTGATTTTCTGCGAGTGAAATGACTACAAAACTACCGAACGCATCACACCATCAATCAACGAAGAAAGAAGGTGGAATCACCGAATAAAAACAGCACCTCATCAGCGCGCCTCACCTGGTTGCTCTCCAGCAGCTCTTGAGGCGAGAGGTCAAATATGTCGAGCAGCAGAGGGCATGTGAGGCCGGGGGTGCTAGGAAGAATGGCACTCGAACAGCAGATTTGCTCACTGGTGGTGAGAGGGGAGCAGCGGCGCGGAGGGTGATTGGGTGGTTGTGAGAAGTAGGAGAAGCACAGGTTAATGCTGGGAGGAAAAGAGGCACAGGTATGAACCAAGCTAGCAATTAGGAGAACCCTTACCAGCCAAAGTCAACGAACCTTCAGGTGAGGTTACTCAAATATAAAATAATATAATAAAAACCCTATAGGTCAGTCAGTGGTCACTTTGTGAAGTTATTCGTTGTTAAAAAGAGCTACAGGAGAGAGTTGTCAACGATTCTCCTCAAGAGCATCATCTATCATGTAACTTACCAAAGCTACAGGAACGGTTCCTAGCAGATAAGCAGCGGCTATAACCATTGAAACACGCCGCTAGAATAGCAGCAGCAGTGTGTCAATACTAATTTAGGGTACAGGACCTCACGCATCATCAAGTTAGAGACGTCACGGCGACAAGGAGAAAGGCCCGAAGCAGGTGAAATTGTCATAACTAGCTAGAATGACCTTGACCGGCAAGGAGAATGGCCCCTTCATAAGATTAGAGTAGTACCTGGGTTACAGGGACGCCTCAGAAGGTTAGAGTAGTCGAGGGGGAAGAAGGAGGGCGGGCAGAGGCAGAAGGAGGAGGCATCATAGCTCTCGAGACACACGCCGGGCGCACAGGTGTCAGTGCTGTTAAGACGACATGTGGGGAACTCTAGAGGGGCAGCGGATGGGGAAAGCGGGAATGTAGAGGGGTTAGAGGGATGTGATGGGGTTGGAGGCAATGTAAGTAACAACTCTCACAGGGTTGAACCTAGGGTGGTTGGAAGGGAATGACAGCCTTGGATACCCTTCCAACATGCTGAATGGATACCCTTTCAACATGCTATGCCACGTGGATTTACCATTGAAGCACGTTTGGAAGGCGGGCATTTGGGGGAGCTTGTAGCTGGGCTGGCTGAGAGGGCACGAGCACGTGCTAGTGTATGTGCTTGTGGCTGCTGACCGCACCGCAGTGCACCTGCCAGCACCGCATGGATTCACGTCCCATGCCGTGCATGGGTTGACGTCTGTGTGACATGGAAGGGGGGATATATGTTGAGAGGATAGAGAAGGTGTGGGATGGAAGTGGGCTGACTAGAGGAGGCGAGAAACAAGAAAAGGGGAATCGGTTGTTGATACATGCATGCTGTGGTCAGGCATGGTATGCATGATGTTCTGTGGATATATGTGACGCTGGGTGCGGTTAACAGAATCAGGTCACGGGTGCCCATGCACACACATACACACACACACGCACACACACGCACACACACACACACACACACACACACACACATACACACACACACACATACACACACACACACACACACACACATACACACACACACACACACACACATACACACACACACACATACACACACACACACACACACACACACACACACACATGCATCGATGCGTGTGCGCACATGCACCTTAGCCCACACGCACCCAACCCTTCACACGAACCTGTGAATCGAAACGTCCACGTTTTGATGGACTGAATAGATGCACGCGTGCTGGCACTGCTGAACCCAGCAAACACCGGAATCACTCCATTGGCAGCACCACCGCCACCACTACTGCTGCCGCTGCCACTGCTGCCGCCGCCGCTGGTGTTGGTGCTGCCACTCGTCCCGTCATAGACGACAGAGCACAGGTCAAGAGTCAAAGTCACGTTACCCATCCTCTGTGCTCCGTTATAAGTCACTACCTCTAGCGTTTTAGTGGCAGCTGTATAGTCCACCTTCATGCTGTACAGTGAAGGTGACACGTATTTTCCCTGAGTAGAGAACGCAAGCCGCCGAGTCACGTTAAAGTCAGTGTGAACGGAGAGAATCGCCACATCCTTGTTAACGTCATGGTTAGGGTCAAGGCCGCTAAAGGCATCAAACATCACCGCCACACTCCTCCCTCCATCCGCCCACGTCCCATTCGCGTTTCTACCTTGTGCATCCCTCCCATACCCCATACCCGCCCCTCCTTGCCCCACCCCTGGCCGAGTACTGAGCACAAAAACGACCCCAAAGCCATTACCGCCACTCGTCTTGAGCTCAAAGGCAAACCAGGAGGTGAAGGAGCGAGCACTGCACACCACAGGGTCATTAGAGGGCTTAGAGAGCCCCACTCCCCTTGCGCGCTGCCTCCCATTGCGAGGCGGAGGAGCGGGGAGGAGCGAGAGCAGGGGCAGGGGGAGGGGGAAGAATGCGGCGCCTGACTCCTGGTCCTGGTTGCCCGGGGTGAGTTGCAGCGAGGAGAAGCCGAGGCGAGCTGCACCCGAGGCAGTGAAGGGGGCCGCTGGCGTGAGGAAGGGCAAGGAGAGCGACGGCGGCTGCCACACGGGGAGAGGTGCCGACGCTGGAATGGGGGAAGGGTGTTTCATGGGGAAGTAGGAGGGAGAGAAGGGAAACATAAAGGGAAATCGAGCAGGGCAGCACACAGAGCCGACACAACGAACAGTGGACGGGCTGAAGAGGAGTTGAGGGAGAAGGAAGGATGAACGTTTCCAACCCTTTCATTCGACTGTTGGATCTCTCTTGAATTTGTTGGAGGAGCACTGGGGTCGGCCTAAGGTCCTGGGAAAGGGTCACATGCAAGGATGGCCTAGCGGGTTATGGGCGCGCTCACCTGCTATGGAACAAGCTCCTGTAGCTCAGTGAGATTTCCAACATGGTATCAAAGCGAAGGTCTCGGGTTCGAATCCGAGTGTGCACAATGGAATGTGCTTGTGGTCCTAAGGCCTACAAAAATAAAGGGTGTTGGAGGAGCACTAGGATCGCCCTAAGGTCCTGAGAAAGGGTCACAGGCAAGGATGGCCTTGGGGGGTTATCTGTGCGCTCACCCTCTATGGAACAAGCTCCTGTAGCTCAGTGGTTAGCGGCTGAGTTTTCCAACAGGCACTACACATTTTGCCCAGCCTGCTCTGTCTACTTGCCATTCAAGCCGGCTCTGCCTGCCTTCATTGAAAACCTTAAGTCTTGGCTACTGCACACCTTGCCGTGACTCCTGCCACTCCGTCTCACCTTTAGTGTCGACCTGAAAGGCCCAGGAGAGGATGTCGTGCGTCTGAGTGTGCAGCGGCAGCAGCCCCGTGCCGGCTGCAAACCCCGCATGCACCAACACGGCCTCCCCTTCCCCGCTGTCGGCCGAAGCATTGAGAAAAAAATCGCAGGCGTTGAAGGGGAGGGAGAGGAGGGCGGAGGGGGGCATGGCGGGCGAGGAGGAGAGGCGCACGGAGAGCAGCGAGGCGGTGGCGTTGTAGGCCACCCACGCATGCAGCGTCTCGTTGCCGCCCAGCGAGGCCATGCCCGCGGGGTGCACGGACGCATGGCCTGCTGACGCCATGCTGTAATCCAAGTTCACCCCCACGTGGTGTACTGTTGGATCCAGAAACAGACGTGTCGATGACGTGTCAAACTCCACTGCCAGGCTATGCTGATGTGGCAAACTGCTGTTGAGGGTGATGCCACTACCGCTGTCCATTGAAGTGCATGTGATGATCCCGTTCTCTTCCACACAGAATTCATCTCCACCCCCATCGGATCCCCCCCCTCCGGGATCCAAAGGAGCCTCCTCCTGTCTGTATGGCCTCCTCCCGCATCCCATGTTTGGCCCGGGCAGCTCGACGGTCGGGTCGGGCAGGAGAACGAAAGCAAAGTCGTCGGACCCGAGAGCAACAGCGGATTGGGGGAGGAGATGCGGAAGGAGAAGGAGGAGGAGAAGGAGTAGGGGCGGCAGGAGGAGGTGGGGGAGGCGGGGGAGACGAGGGGGAAGGGCGTGGGGTGTAGGGCAAGGCCCGCTTGGTGGGGGGGAGAGAAGGGGGTGAGGCGTAGTGAGGAGGGGAGGAGGCGAGCCGAGCCGGAGGTGAGAGGAGGAGTTCAGTCGGGAGTATGAAAATGATGGAGGGGTGGAGGCCGCTGAAAATTGTGGGAAAAGGGAAGAGAGGGAGCAAAGGGGAGAACGAGGTGAGTGGGCTGTCTGGAGGAAGACGCTTCAAGGATTTCACACCAAGTCATCTATCCGCATTGGAGTACATACATAGAGAAGGATGCATGTGGTTTGTGGCATGAGCTCCCAAGGGTGCATGTGGCATGAGCTCCCAAGGATGCATGTGGCATGAGCAAGTTATCCCAACCAAGCATCGCACCTGTGCCTCTGAGCGCACATGTGCCTCTTAGCGCACCTGTGCCTCTGAGCGCACCTGTGCCTCTGAGCGCACCTGTGCCTCTGGGAGCCACCGTGACCAGATCCACATCGATGCTCCCCGCTGCCGTTGCAGCTGACGTGAGCGCCCCGCCTTCCACCGCTGCTGCCGCTGAAGAAAATGAAAAAACTCCCGACGCAGATGTACCCCCAGTCACGGACGCAGCTCCAGGCATGGAGGCAGCTCCGGGATCGGAAACAAAACCGGACGACATGCCGCCGCTGTCCGCCGCAGTGCCCTCGAGCAGCACGAGGTGCAGAGCCACGCCTTGCGGCGGGAAGGAGAGAGCAGCGGCGGAGGCGGAGGAGGGAGGCAGGCGGAAGGAGAAGGGCCCGTGCTGGCGCCAGGGGAGGAGGCCCGAGAGCGGGAGAGGGTTGGCGTCGTCAGTGCGGCACGGAACGTCGATGGTCCATTGATAGAGTACTATTATGTTTGCTCCTCCGCTGCTCATATTTGCTGCTAGCGCCCGGACCTACTCTCCCTCATCCACGCTGCTGCTGCTGCTGCTGCCGCTGCTGTTACCAGTGCCGCCACCGCTGCCAGTGCTGCCTGTGCTGCTGTTGTTGCTGCTGCTGTTGACAGGAGGTGGCAGGGGCAGGGCAACGATCATTGCTCGCATTGGCCGTACTCCAGAGGTCATATACATATCAAAACCGCATTCCCGTGCCCTTGCATAGAAATACAGCGAAAACTCCCCCTGCTGCTGCTGCGGCTGCTGCTGCTCCCCACCTTTTGCAACACACAGCAGCTGCCCCACCCCCTGCACCGGCCACACTGTTCCCCCAATCTCGCTCGGCCCGCTCCCCCAAAGCCCCCCGCCACTGTTGCCACTGCCGTCGCTGGGCTGCAGGCGCACGAACCGACCGCCCTTAGCAGCAACGGACGGGTCCCCGGGGGGAACGTCCCCTCCCCCTCCCCCCGCGTCCCCCCCTTGCTGCGCTGCTGCGCCGCTGGGGAAGAGAGGCACCCAGGACGACAGGGGCGAGGGCCAGTCTGCTGCATCGGACGTTTCCTCGAAGCCCGCATTGCGCAGGAGGTTCAACGAGGGAGCTGGAGATGGTGGAAGGGGATTGGAGGGAGAGAAGGGGGGGCGGGAGCGGGGATTAATGGAAGAGGAAGCTCCAGTAAGGGAGAATAACGAGGCCAAAGGGCGGGCGGGAATGGCGCTCGTGTCCGGAATTATCGAGGGGAAGGGAGGGGGGTGGGGGGAAGAGGAGAGAGAGGGGAGAGGGGGGGGGGGAGGAGGGAAATGGGAAGCTACAGTATGAGAGAGGCGCAAGGCCAATGGGCGGGAGCGGGGATTAATGGAAGCGGAAGCTCCACCGGAGAGGAGAAGCGCGAAGTCAATGGGCGGGCGGGAACGGCGCTCATGTCGGGGATGCTCGAGGGGAAGGGAGGGGTTGGGGTGGGGGGGGGGAGTTGGGTTGGTGTGGCGGGGAGGAGGAAGGGGGGTGGGGAAAGGGTGCGGGGGGAAATGTGGGGGGTGTGACGCAATTCCGAAAGGGAGAGGTCGCACTGCCGAGCGGAGCTTTTTAGAGGTCGCGATTATCAGATCTACCCTGAGCTGCGAGACTACTACCTTAGTCGTTGCAATGAGGACTACCTTGCGCCGCGAGGCTGGCGCATGTCGGCACGGCGGCGTTGGCGACGGTGACGAATGGGTTGAAGTGCGCGGTTACCACCAGGAGGCGAAGAGCGGCGACGATGAGGCGGCTGACTGGACTCCAGGCGCCACGTGGAGCCCGCTGGCGATTGGAGGCATGCGCTAAATGAATCCAAATAACCAGGGACGCGGCGAGTGACACGCCGCTACAGAGTGACTTGTTAATGATACTGAGTGGTCGATTCGTGTGGGGCATGGAGATAAGTTCCGCGAGAACGCGCGGTTGCGAAGAAAGGAGAGGCAGAAGGAGGCTTCAAGTCGGATGGGAGCATGGCGCGATGATAACTTATCTTAGCGTCTGCATTTCCTAGAATGATGAATCCTGGCTCTCGTCTTGAATCACACCACCCCATGATCTAGCCAAGGCAAAGCCAAGCTGGATCGACGGAATGTACTGCTCCAATGGCTCATGCTCGAACCCTCGCCGCGCTGCACCACGCTTGTATCTGTTTGACCACACCAAAACGCTTTCAACCTCTCTGAATATCCAAACCTAACCTTTGAACAACCTGCTTGTTGGATGTGGGAGGTTGCCAGCCGGACTGCTACTGTCACATGATATTATCGAGGAAGATATTTCACCCAGTGGAACGATCTGCCCTGCAGCAGGACTGTCATGTGCGATGGCCTGGCGGGGTGCGCTTGTTGGTTGGTTGGTGGAGGTGGAATGGAGTGGATTGGCGGAGGGCGAAGGAGATAGCGTGTAACATTGTCGCGACCAATCGAGCAAGCGAATCTTTTTGGCAGAACCAGCGGTGCAGTGCGGCCTGCAGTTGCTCGAGTTCAGTTGGAGATTGGGGGAAAACCGACGACTGCAAGCTGTGTGATGCCCTCTCACAGCTTCGATGTGGTGCAACACGGACGGTCGAGATGCTGTCTCCCCGACTGGCGAGTCAGATATTCCCAAGGTAAACGCCCATAGGTCACCTCTGTCGATTCGCATGGGGCACGTTGTAGGCAGCAAACTGGCGGTGCAAACTGGCTTTTACGCTTCACCATTTTGCACCGTGACGCAACAACAGTAACCGCACGGAACGAAACGAAGGACGAACACACTGGACCTGCCCAGTCCGTTACAGCCCGCCTCACTAAGAGCCATATGGTCCTAAATTACACTACAGTATATTAATAGGCGCTCGAGTAGTCACAAAGTATGCACTTGATCTGATTCGCCTTTTTATCTGTAAGAAATTTCCTGTTTTGACACTCAATGTGTACTGGTACATCCGATTTCTTTTTGACGAGAATGTCAGCTCGTCAATCGCGGTAACAGGGCTGTCGAGTTCGTCTTTTCTAACTTCCAAGATATAACAGATACCACACAGTCAGCTTACAAGTTCGCCAGAAACTCGACTTCCGTAGTCCCTGCCGCTGCTCCGAACTGAACCCAACCTTTACAAACAATACGTGAACCCCATTGCCAGCCTGCTAGCTTGCCGGAAACCAATCGCGAGCAAGCAGACTTCTTCGTGCGACGTACGTTATCTCTAACTTACGGAATCTAAGGGCGCGTGTCCCATACAGTGTTTTGCAAAACTCGTTTTTTTAGTTGAACTTCTACCATTTGAACCTAGGTCGACCTATGCTCGACCATATAGATTCTTTTTGCTCGAGCCGCTGTTCCTCGCTTCACAAGTATCACAGGGCACACAAGAGTTCGACTACCGAAGTTCAACTTTGAACAGTAATATCCGCGTCGCGCTAGACTTTTGTAGGTTACCCGGTTGGGCGATGCAGTTCGTGCCCGTATCGGCTTCAGCAACCAGATGCGATGTACATCGTTACTGTCGTGGACCACGTGGATTTTCGTGCGTGCGCAAAAGGACACACGATTGAATATATGTAAGCGTAAAGATCCGAACGTAGGTCGACTTTAGTTCAGTGTCCAACTTCTTTCACACATTTTGAGCTAAGACACACGATTTCCTCGCGAATGTTTTGGCGATATTAACGAAACAAGTTACCAGCAAAAGTTCAATTTTTTTTCGACCTTCTACAACAAAAGACACACGCCCTAAGCTAACGTCGTCAAACAACTATATCGAGGGCGATCGATCCACCCGGGATCTGCAATGTCAAGATACAGCTAGAAAAGTTAGAATGAGAAAGGAGAGTTTGCACTAGCAGCAGTTGAGATACATTTAGGAAACCCTAATTGGGTTGTACTCGCTATAGAGTACCCCACTACAGGCTAGACAAGCATGATATTCTGACATGCAATTCTACCACGCCCTTAGGTTGGTAGCCACCCTAAGGCACTAAGGCAGTTGCACCACTCTAACAGATTGAGATTGAAGTCGTCGAACGCTTTGTGCGTCGGATTAGATCGTGCAGGCGAGCTGTGTGCGTCATATTAGAACGAGCTCGCCGCGAGCATGCTGAAGCATCTGAGTGGCGTGCGCATTGAGTTCAACGCCTTCAATCGGCGCAACGCGGCGGCGCTGGAGTTTTTGGCGCAATGCAACTCGCAGAAGGCGCGCGATTCGAACCCTAAATGCGACGTCGCGGTGAAACGACGCACGGACGATCATCCTCCCTTCGTTCAGGTGCGAGATTCCGCGCGAATCATTTGTCTCGATGAAACGCCTCCTTCGGTTCCCTCCACACCACCTCCCTTCATCCCCTCTTCCATCCGCACCACCTGCTTGCATCCCTTCTTCTCTCCGCACCGTAGTCGCGCTTTTTTCGTCCCCAGATTGTTTGCCTTGTCACCCCCTCGTTATCACCCTCATTCGCAACCGCATTCTCATCCCACTTTCTCACCCTTACATTCGGTTATTTAGTCGACTTAAAAACCGATTCGTTATCACCCTCATTCGCACCCGCATTCTCATCCCACGTTCTCACCCTTACATTCCCTTTCCCCTCATACATTAACCAGTCGCCCAGACATATGCTCCGCCCATCTATCCTCCCTATAGGTCACATTCAATAACGGGCAAGAGGAGACCATGGATTGCACTCAGTTGACTGCTCAGGTGAGCTTATCTCTTTTGCCAGATGGGATGGGATGGGATGGGATGGGATGGGATGGGATGGGATGGGATGGGATGGGATGGGATGGGATGGGATGGGATGGGGCGGGTTGGGGTGGGGTGGGGTGGGGTGGGGTGGGATGGGATGGGATAGGATGGGATGGGGTGGGATGCATCTCAACTCATTTCCCCAACCTTGCGCATCTTCTTCACCCAAGCCGGACCAGGTGCCTTGATAGCATAGCAAGTTCTCAGCTTAGATCAGGTGTCTTGTCGCCGATCCCCTCTGCTCTCTCCCCTCTACAAGTACCTTGGTAGCCAGCCCTCAAGGATGAGATTTGCCGTTGCTCATACCCCTGCCCGCTTCCACTCTGCCCTCTGCCCGCTTCCCTCCGCTCCGTCCCTCCCTCTCATTCAGCTTCTCTAATCTCCCCCTCAATCCCCTCCCACCCTTCCACCGCCCCACCAAGATCTCCCTCCCCCCCTCTCCCTCCCTCCCTCTCCCCCTCCCTCCCCTCAGAGCATTCGCAAGTCCATCTTGCAGCGTGCGGAGGAGATGGAGACGGAGCAGATGTTCAAGGATGCGGGGCTGCGGTGCTGTTGCAGGGCTAGGGCTGCAGTTTCACACATGTATTGTGTCCACCCACGGTGATTTCCCTCCCTCTCTCTCCACAGAGCATCCGCAAATCTATCCTTCAGCGAGCGGAGGAGATGGAGACGGAGCAGATGTTCAAGGATGCGGGGCTGCAGTGCTGATGCTGGGCTAGGGCTGCAGTTTCATGTATTTTGCAATCTCTCTCCCTCCCTCCCTCCTCAGACCATCCGCAAGTCCATTCTCCGGCGGGCAGAGGAGATGGACACGGCACAGATGTTCAAAGATGCAGGGCTGCAATGTCAGGGATGTATCATTTACCCTCCGTCCCACCTGATTTCCCTCTCTCTGCCCTCCACAGTGCATCCGCAAGTCCATCTTGAAGCAAGCGGAAGAGATGGACACGGCACAGATGTTCAAGGATGCGGGGCTGCAGTGGCCCGTGGTCATCCCCGAGCAAGAGGCAGAGTTGGCCCAAAAGATACAAGCGAAGAGAAGATGAGCGCGTGCAGCAGTGTGTGGGATGAGTGGGCGATGGGAGGGTGATGGGGAGAGGCTATAGATGTTCCGAAATGCGGGGCTGCAGTGGCCCGTAGTGATTCCGGAGCAAGAGGCACAGCTGGCCTGCCGCATGCAGGGGAAGCTTGTGCCTTTTACAAGGATGATGGCCTCTCAGAATAAGGGCCAATCATTCCATGCATGTCTCAAGCACATGTGGCGCACTAAAGATTGGGAGACGACCTTCCCAAACATGGTCCGCCTCTGGGTCGTTGTCGCCGTGCTGCCGTTGAGCACCGGTGAGTGCGAGCGCGGCTTCTTCATGCAGAATGTGATCAAGTATTGGCTACGAGGAAATTTTTTCAACACATGCCTGACATATTTGATGTCCGTCTCGCTGCTGCAGTACGATCCTAACTGGGACGAGGTGGTGTCTGCATGGAGGGGGGCAAAGAAGAGGCGATCGGCCAAGGAAGTGACGATGAAGCGCACTCCACAGCGAGCGCCGAAAAGGAAGGCCGAAAGAGAAAGGAAAGTAGCTGAGTCTGATGTGGAAGATGGGGATGAGGAAGATCTGGAAGCGAAGACGACGAGCAAGAAGAGCAAGGCACCTGCAGCTGTCCCTGGCAGTGACAATGACGAGGATAATGGGCTTGATGTCCGTGGTACTGTGGCCCTGGATTTTGACACATAGTAGAGTAGAGTAGAGTAATATGTAGTAGTGCCAGCCTAATCAGCTAGCTTGGAACACCTTAAGAGAGTTGCCTGTAGTAACAGCTGTAAAGAAAATGTAATGAAAAACGTTATCATATTGTCTCGTCTATATAATGGGTTTACTACAGCACGATAGCACGCAACCCACGAGACTGACTTGAGTACCCCTTATAAAAGTATCATAAATGACAACACACTTGCAGCTGATACATAAGGAATAGACTTTTTTTTTTTTTAATATAAATCAAACAGGGAAATGAGATCCTTATGATGCATCAGGCGCCCTCAGATCCTAGGGACAACCCTGGCATGCGCTTAACATTGGCCTACGCTTATATCCGGGGTCATACGGTATGCGTCCACTTTGTCAAACTTATATGACATAGTCTATGTAGGCTGTAGTGGGGTAGACAATAT